ACTTGAGGGGCCAAGCCTCCTCAAGCTGACTAGAGACCGCGTCTATCCGTTCGTTTTCTTCATTTATTTTATGACTAAATTATTAATTGGTCCCTCCATTTCGTAGTTCTTTAATTTTCTTTTTTCATTTTAGTCCCATTAGTTCTTTTTGCGACTCAATCTCCTAGCTTTTCCATCACAATTTATCATTTTATTTATCTCTATACCAAACATTTATCATCTCTTTTTCCTGTCTACATAAGTCTTTTATTTTTTAATTCTTTATTTAATTATTATTCCATCTCTATTATTTTTTCTAAGATATTTCTTACATCTAAATATATTGTTATATATCTCTTTTCTTATCCTAATTTTTTTATCTCTTCCTTTCTTTTTATTAGAAATATTTTATATTTTATATTAAAATATAAAAGTTGCAACTTCCTGGCATTATTATCTCAATATATTTTCACCCACCTTTACTCTAAATTTCATTACTTTTCCTAAAACCTCATCTCTTAGCTTACTTCTCAAATTTTATTATTATATCCTCTCATTAATTTTTGTTGAGACTATATCTTTCAGCTTTTGCCTTAACATTTTATACCATTATAATTAGATTGAAAGCTAACTTTGGTCCCTCAATTTTAAGATTTTACACAATTTTCATTTTTTTAACTTTTTTATACATTTTTTTAATCCCTTAACTATAAAAAATGCATATTATTAGTCCTTCCATCAATTAATCCATTAAGGAAATGCAAATATGCACATTTTTAGTCTTTCAACTTATAATATATGCATATTTTCGTCCCTCAACTCAAAAGTTAAAAGATTAAAAATATACATATATGGATAAATTTAATAGATTAACTAATAGAAGGACTAAAAAAGTATATATATGAACAAACTTAATGGATTAAGTGATGAAAGGACTAAAAAGTATATTTTTCATAGTTGAGAAACTAAAAAAGTACATATTTGGATAGATTTATAATCTAAAATTTAAAAATAAAAATAAATTGAAATAAATTATGTCATTTCAGTAGAATACTAAAAAAAGACTAAACTTTAAAAATAGGTTGTTATAGTATTGCTATTGAAGTTTATATATATTCAATTAATTTAAAAATTAACATATATAATTTATATAAATAAAATATTGAGTCTAACAGTTAATTTTTTAAAATATTTATTGAAGAATGGTATTTTTACAATTGAAATTTTAATTTTATATGAAAATCAAAATTGATATACACCATTCTTTAAATATAATTTTATTAACTAACAGAAATTTCAAAATATTTTCTGTAAATTACCAAAGTACTTACCCCGAACTATTACTCGAGCTGACCAGGAAGTTAACTAGAATGCTCAACTTGGGAAGGGCTTCGTCTTCTTCCTCTCTTTTTTTCGCTTAATCAACTAGAGCTGGAATGGAAAAGATTTAAGATAAGGTTAGTATATGATGGTATGTTTTTAGGACAATTATACATACACCCAAACAATCAACACCCATCTCAACACCCAAGGCAAAAATAAAGAAGGGTAAATTTGTAATTTTACTGTTCATAAGCCTTGGGTGTTGAAATGGGTGTTGATTGTTTGGGTGTATGTATAATTATCCATGTTTTTAACTTAAATAAAGGAAAATAATATGTGTGTAGCGATATGTGTGTAACGTTATTGCTATAGGGCAATCTACTAACTCTAGAAATTAAATGATATGTTTGGTTTGAGGGGAGGACAAGGAACTGAAGGAAGCAGCTTCAAAAGGTTTGCAAAAAATTTGAAAGTGAGGAAAGAAGAAGAGGGAAATGGAAGGATGTCTTATACTTCCATTCCACCGTATATGGTTGACAAAAAATTTGAAAGGGAGGGGAGGAGAGGGATCATTTCCCCAACCCCCACCCCCCACATTTCCCTCAAACAAAAGATTTTAAAAGAGTTCATATTTTACCCCTAGGTTGTGTTTGGTTTAAGAATATTTCCCCAACCTTCTTATAAAGTTGGAAGCAATTTAATCTTTGTAATTTTTAATATTATAATAATCAAGTTAGGTTTAAAAGTTTTACACTAATTTTCAGTCATTCATTTTAAAATTTCAAGAACGGTTAATGCAATATTTAAATTCCAGAATAACCCTTTAAATTTTAAAATGTATGACTAAAAATTAAAAATAGAAAATTTTCATTTTTTTTAGCTGGTATAAGAAGTTCTCAAACACATACCAGTGTAAGTTAATTCTTGTTCATAATAAAAATTTAAATAATAAAATTGGCATTTCTGACCCAAAATTTTGCTCTTCAACTACTTATCAAATATGAGACATTTCTAACAAAATTTTATTACAGAAGTTATAAATATTTTATACAACATTTTTTAAATTTCCATATAAATAAAATACTCTTCCAACAACTTTCATACAGTACTTTTCCCCTTATACTTATAATCCAAACAGGCTTGTAACATGTATAAGAGTACTTCAAAACAAAAAAATTATATAGTCTTACAAAACTTAAAACTCTTATCTCTCCTTTCAATACTTTCTTACCCTTTCTATATCGAATGGAAAACCTCTATGATGGGGAACAAGAAAGAATCAGTTTTAGGATTCCTTAACAATTTTATTAAGTGTTGT